ACACACACACACACACACACACACACACACACGCACACACATACAAACACACACACACACACAAATATGCGTACATACATAAAACACACGCGTACATGTACACACAGACACAAACAAAACACACAAACATGCACACACACATACAAGCACACACACACACATACAAACACATACACGAACACACACACGCACACACGCGCACACACACATGGCTCTTCCTGTCCGTAAATGAAGAAAATATTCAAAGGTAAACTAGCAAGCAATTTTTGCAAACAGCGCCAACAGGGTGGTTAGATTTTGTTAGCAGTTGCTTCCTTTGAAGATTGAGAATTAAACTGTGACTGTTTTAAGTTTTCTGATTTACCCGAAATATCTGAAGCTGCTGCCAATTCGTAGGATCTCCACTCCCAGCTCGAAAATTCGATTTCGGATGGTGGAACAAGCAGTCCCTCTGCGATTTGATGGTAAATTAGTACTGGCATACTCCAGGGAATCAAGTCCACCATCAGCTTGCTTGTAAGCAATTCTCGAATAACGGAGTCTTCGACGGCTTTGCCAGCATGCGCCTATTGTTGGTGTTTGTTACCATCAGGGCTACTTTCCAAGTGCCTCCATCTTCTAGAGAGAACCGATTTGGAGGGGATTTTAATTTTTTGATATTTTCTTTTTATAATTATAGGAAGAACACAGATATAAGGTATCGTTACGCGTTTTTTCATTTAGGCATTTTGGACGCAGTTGCGGAGCTGTTAATTTTCGAGGTGGATGCGTTTGGCATCGATTGTGCACCTGAGAATCGTACAATTCGAAAATTGGTCGCAAGTACGCTGACAAATTTGACATTTGGCAATTCGCAAAGTAAACGTCGTCTGTGCTCACATCCAAATCTCATCGAATATGTGATCCGGATCATTGATGATTCACATACGCTTGCTCAGGTTTGAACCCCTTTTTATTATTTTATGAGAGAGGCGAGTGGAAATTTTTGCACTTTCTGCTATTTTTCGCCGATTTTTGAAAAGTTACAAGTGTATGAGGAATATTAGGGTCGGAGATAAAGGATTAATCCAAATATTACATGCAACAAAGACATATTGTTCTTTTGCTTCAATTTTGGTCCAAACCCAAC